GTACAGAAGGTATCAATACTCCTAAAGAGAGTATCGGTACTACCTTTGTTATTTTTAAATCAACTAACCGTTACTAGTCGTTGGGGCCTGATGGTATCGATATTATGCCTATAGTATTGGTACTACTATGTAAAGTAGTATCGGTACCTCTTTGGGTATTGGTACCATTTTTACATTCTGGAATTTGAGCAATGCTGGTAGTATCAATACTACCTAGTGAGTATCGATACATCCCTTACCTTGGTATCGGTACCATATGAACAATATCGGTACTGTTCATGAGGTATTGATACTGTAAGAACAGTATCGGTACTACTTGTCTAGAAAATTGTTTTGTGCTCAATTCCAAGTTAAATGTACTTTGAATTATTTTTGAAAACTTTGAATAAATTCAATTCAACTACAAAAACATTTTTCCTTAATTGTTATATGAAAATATAGTTCAACAATCTCCCCCTTTTTGATATAACAAAACATTTGAAAAATTATTTTTGGAAAAGCTCTCCCTTAATAAAATATTTAATGAAAAAGATATCAATTGTTGGAAAATATGTGAAAATGTCCAGCTCCCCCTTTTTCATTAAGAAATTTGAATTTTTCAAACTCATACTTCTCCCCCTTTTTGTTATATAAAAAATAATTCAACTTTAAAGTTCTAAAATAACATTGGAGAGTAAGTGGTAAATTTGACATTAAAAGCATTTGAAAAATCAAAGCTCCCACTCACAAAGTGCATTCCAAACAAAATTTGACTTTAAAAGCTTGACACTTAAACAAAATTGAATTTCAACAAAGAGTTACAAACATGTTAGTAACACAAGAAATTCAATATATCCAAGTCTAAAATACTTTATGCAATACCAATAGTTGAACTTAAGTGCATATGCATAAAGCTTTCCAAAAATGTTATGCATTTGAAAAATTTGATATCAATTGTTAGAGATATATCATTTACATTTTAAATTATATGAATAAACATTTAAAAACTAAGGTCAAAAATTTAAAATTTGTAAAATCAAAGCATTTGAAAAGTTGATATCAATTGTTAGAGATATATCATTTGCATTGAAAATCAATTTTGACAAAAATTCATTATGATGAACTAAAAATTATGAGAAATCATTAAAACTTTAAAATGTTCATCATAAAGCATTTTCAACATACATGAGATTAAAAACAATGCATAATCATTTAAAATCAAAACTCATGCATGCATAAACTAAATGAGCAACCAAACAACCAAAATAAAAACATTAAGCTTAGAGGTTACCCATTCATTTTTCAAGTGTGGCTAGAGCATTTGAATAACTTCACTTTCATCACCATTGCTCCCACACACCTATAAGAGACATTTATTTGGATTTTCGTATCCAAATTGCTTTGGATCCTTGGGCGTTAGTTTCAATGCCCCTTGTTCCCTTAGGAACTCATACTTGTCTAATTTTAAAAGATTTTCTTTTCTTTATGGGACAAGTAAGTTCCAAATGACCATGAAAATGGCAATGTGAGCATTTTGCAATTTTTAAACATAATGAGTTGTTTTTAGAAATTAATTATTTTTTCTTTTGTTAAGCTTTCAAGCTTAACTTTCAAATCAAATTGTTTTTTCTAAATCATAGATTTTGACTTTTGAAAGCTCTAAATCATTTTTCAAAATTTCATTTTGATTTTCAAAATCAACTTTTTCTTTTAAAACCAAATCATTTTCAACTTTAAGTTTTGAAATTAATTTCTTATATTTGGAATTCATGGTCTCAAATTCCAAATACAACTCATTATAAGCTTCTTGTAACTCATCAAAAGAATGTGAATTTAAATCATTTAAGTTGGAAGATACCATTGAATCTTCTTCGATGGCCATGAGGCATAGGTTGGCTAGTTCATCTTTATCATTGGAGTCATCTTCATTACTCTAAGCTACCACAAATGCCTTTTTCTTGGATGATCCCTTCTTCTTTAGGAGGGGACATTCATACTTGACATGCCCCGTTCTTTTACAATTGAAGTACACCGGGGGACTCTTCTTCTTGGTTGATTCATGCTTCACGACATGAATCTCTTGAACTTTTTGAAGAGCTTGGTTATCTCTTCTTCTTCATCATCGTCTTCATCCACCTCTTCATTTGAATCTTGATAGCTCTCATTGGTGGACTTGAAGGTAATGCCTACCTCCTTCTTCTTCTTGTTTTGTTTCTCTTCATCTTCTTCCTCTTCCTTCACCATCAACTCATGAGTGAGAAGAGAACCAATAAGCTCGTCAAGAGTGAGAGACTTTAGGTCTTTACCTTCGATAATCTCCGTCTTCTTCAATTGCCAAGACTTTGGAAGATTGTAGCTCATATTCCTCACAAGCTTCTCATTAAGGATTACTTCTCCAAATCCCTTAAGACCGTCGACAATCACGAAAAATCTTTCCGTCATAGCTTTGATGTCTTCATCATGTTTCATCTTGAAGTTATCATAGCTATGGTTGAGAAGACTTATCTTGGTTTCCCTCACTTCATCGGCTCCTCCATGAGTGACTTAGAGCTTATCCATATCTCCTTGGCATTGGAACAAGAAGAGACTCTTCCATATTCATCCGGGCCTAATGCACAAAAGAGGATGTACATAGCCTTAGCATTGAGCTGAAACGTTTTCTTCTCTCCATCACTCCAATCGTTCATCTCTCCTGGTGGAGTGGAGTAACCCTTTATGATAGAGTTCCAAGCTCCTAGATCATTTGCTTGAATTAAGAGCATCATCATATTTTTCCAATAGACATAATTTTCTCTATTGATGTAGGGTGGCTTGTTAACCAGTTGAGAATCTTCCATGTAATAAGCACTGGTGGTTGAAGCCATCTCTTTGTCGGTTGCGTCAAGAATCGGTAGAGCTTATTCGAGGATCTTCTCAAGGATGTGAAGCCTTCTAACGAGTCAAGCTCTGCTATCAATTGTTAAGATTTGCGGAAGCGCGAACTGACAACCGAAAGAGTTGTAAGGGGGTGAATTGAAAATAATTTGTTTAGAGAGTAAGGAGAGTAAAAGATAGAGAAATTTGGCACAAGAATTTATAGTGGTCTGACTTATCAACTAAGTATACTTCCATTACCTAAGCTCCTCACTTAGGATTTTCTAACAAAATCAATAATTTGTTCTTTTTTTAAAAAGATCAAGAGATAAACTTTACACTCCCTATCTTTTCAGTTGGCTAAGATAGAACCAATCTCCTTTTACAAAAGGTAAAAAGAAGTAAACAATAAAACCTCTCAAAGGTAGGGTGTTTACAAATTTAGCTCACTAAAAACACTAATATTTACAAGAGAGATAAAATAATATTGGAAAAACTCTTCTTTTGTGTTTGAATGCTTGGATAGGTGTTCTAACCCTTCTTCAAGTGTCTTGAACAAGTGTTTATATGTTGGAATGAAGTTATGACCGTTTTTAGCCGTTGGGGATGTTTTCTAGCCGTTTGGGGATAAAATCTCTGCAAAATAAAACTGCCCAGTACAGAGGGTATCAATACTCCTAAAGAGAGTATCGATACTACCTTTGTTATTTTTAAATCAAGTAGCCGTTACTAGTCGTTGGGGCCTGATGGTATCGATACTATGCCTATGGTATTGGTACTACTATGTAAAGTAGTATCGGTACCTCTTTGGGTATCGATATCATTTTTTCATTCTGGAATTTGAGCAATGCTTGTAGTATCGATACTACTTAGTGAGTATCGATACTTCCCTTACCTTGGTATCAGTACCATATGAATAGTATCGGTATTGTTCATGAGGTATCGATACTGTAAGAACAGTATCGATACTGCTTGTCCAGAAAATTGTTTTGTGCTCAATTCCAAGTTCATTAATGGACTTTGAATTATTTTTGAAAACTTTGAATAAATTCAATTCAAGTCCAAAAATATTTTACCTTAATTGTTATATCAAAATATAATTCAACAAAAGCCCAACGCACAAAATCAACCAAAATACCACTTAGAACTGTCTAGGGTTCCTCAGCACGATAAGCTGACTATTGAAAGAACAGAGAAAAAACAGTTACATGCATTGTTAATGGGTATAATTCCAATCTCTTTTACTCAATGAAAATCCAATAGTCTCTCCCCTCCTTCAAATTCTGAGTTTCTTTTATATGAATCTTTGTTTTTGTTGTCTAGCTTCATTCATGTTTTGTATCAAGATTAGTTCCGAGTAGTGTGGGTTATTCATTGGATTTGGGGGTTGTGATTTAGTTCCTGCCCTTGGTTGGGATGGCAATGCTTTTGAATCTTGTGCGTAATTCATACAAGAAGCCAATTAAAAAAAAAATGTTGGGTTGAGTTTTTTTTTATAAGATTTTGAGCTTTGTGTCGTGTTATGCTTTTACTATGTCGAATCAACTTAAATTATGTTGAAATTAGGGTCGGATTCAAATCGAATATAGATTATTAAATTTTGAGTGGGGATTGGAGTGGTAAAAATTTTGACCCGTCTTATTTATCATCTTTAATTTTAGTCGACAATATTAATGAAAAAGGTTGATGAAATTTCAAGATATAAATACTTGAGAAAAAAATTGGGGCCTTAAGCCATTAAACTTCGGAACTCAAATCAATAGAAATTAATCATTAGATCAACAGCTTGTCTGTTGGCTGTAACAAAATATTTTAGTATATATAATAAAATTAAAAATCATCATATGCTTTATTTTGTTTGATTAATATTATAAACCGAGTTCAAGTTATAAAATAAGATTCATCAATTTTAATAATTCGTAATTTTTTTATTTTATTCGTAATTTTCCGTCATGTTTCTAAATGGAAACAGGTGCATGGAAATAAATGAAGCAGGCAAAATTATTGAATTTAAGAAAGATGGGGGGTTAGGCCTGGCTACTAAAAATGAACCCACAAAGGCAATTATCTCTGCCATGATTTAGCCATCAATGAAACCATCATTAATTTGATAAATCTCCTTATGGTTCTACAAACCAAATCTTCCAAATGAAAAAAAAAATAGAATAAATGTTTGGTACTGTTTACAATTCTATTTGTTACAAGCTTTCATGCCCCGTCTTTCTCAACTGTACCTAAATCCAATGGCTCATCTTTTCTTCTACTCCCCATTTTCAAAAGTCCATATAGTTTCCGAAAATCTCTAACCGAATGATCCCTGCTAAGACTCCCCCCTTGATCACCACTTGTTTCCTCTGGATTCCGAACCGGTTCATCATCGGAAGTCGACCTTCTACTTTTTGTACCGCCAGTGGTTTGCATTGCTGTGATGACCGATTTCAGCGCTCGAGTCGGGGAGCTCCTGTTGGATATCATGATCTCCCCAATCTCTGCAGGGGTTAAACTTGCCCCTCCTTGAAAGATCTCCTCAACCTGAGGGAAAAGTTTATGTTCCTTGACACCCAGGTAATTGTTAGCCAAATTCTTGAATGAAGAGAAATCACATAATGGGAAGTGCACATGAACATCGATCCTCCCAGGCCTAAGCACGGCTTCATCAACTTCATCTTTCTTGTTCATTGTGAACACCATCACCCTTTCTTCCCCGCAGCAAGATATGATTCCGTCCATGAAATTCAATATCCCCGATAAGCTAACACCCCTTTTCTTCTCCATCAAGAAACGATCAAGATCTTCGACCACGATCATCGACTTATTTGTGGTTTGCAGCAATAGCATCTTCAAATCGGAATCGTCATTAACTTTGGATAAATCGATGTCGTACACATCGAAGTTGAGGAATCGAGCCATTGCCGCGACGAAGCTGGATTTTCCGGTCCCCGACGGGCCGTATAGAAGATAGCTCCGCTTCCAAACACGGCCTAGCCTATGATAAAATTGCTTGGACTTGAGAAACGTTTCAAGGTCGGTTTTGAGTCTGTTTTTCAGATCAATGTCCATTACAAGAGTGTCAAATGACGCCGGATGATTGAACGGTACCGACCTCCACCGTCCGTTCTCGGCTGATGGACTGTCGACGTTCATGCACAACTTGAGCTCTTTCTTCCTTTGAGTGATATCTCCGGCAACAGACAGTATGTGTTGGAGGTATGGACGTAGAATTCGACGCTTATCGTTCTTTCTGAGCCTCAACACCAATACCCTGGTCCCATTCTTTTCAAGTTTCTCGATGGTCCACGTAACTCTAGCGCCGAGGAACACGTCCCGAATTGTCTGATCGATATCGAGTCGAAGAAGGATATCGTTGGACTTGGAACCGGTGAAAAGGTTAGTGAAATCAGAGTCTTCCAAGGAAGGGAGAGAGTTGAGATACGTTGAAACCTTGCGGTAGAGCTCGTTTTCTCGATGAACATGATCGAACTGAGGAACTCTATAGGATTGGTGAACATGAAGCCTATCTTCCAAGCACTGGAATTGGTTGAGAAGGATGTGTATGAAGGATGTTTTTGATAAGAACCGGAGAATAAAAAGGAAAACCACAAGGAGAAAGAGGAGGAGGATCATGTTCAGCATCTGGGTTTGGGATTGGGATTGGGATTGGGATTGGGAGGATGGAGATGGTTATAAAAGCAGAAATGGAGATGCCATTTATGGGGGCTGCTTTGGTGGTCGGCTTGAGCCGGCACTCTAGGGTCAAAGGCACGAGGAGCAGTGAGTTTTGGACTTGCGACTCGCTTAAGGATGTTGACTTGAATAATATTAATAATACTGTTGTTTTTGGCATTCTTTTTTAATGTTTTTGACCCGAAAACCAGCTTTGATTTTGCCGTGAAGTTGCTGGATAATTAAAAATGGGGGAAAAGAGTTTTGCGGTTTGTTTGCTTCCGGCGAATAATTATAAGATAATATTTATTTTTTAGTTTATATGGATTATTCTTGTCTTTATAATATTCAGATATTTTGAAGCTTTCAAAGAAAGAATTCAAAAGAGAGGGAGAGAGAACCGCAAAGTAGCAGAATGGGGCGGGTTCAAAGTTGAGCCGATAAAGACTTCAGGCTTTGAACAAGTAAACTGGAAATTTCAATGTTCCCTCTTGTTTATTCAAGTTCAACACAAACTGCTGTACGTTATCTTCTTGTTTTCAAGGGCTTAAATCATAAAAAGAAGAAAATGCATTTCCCCCAAAACTCATCAAATGATTTAACCAATTAGCCATGCATTTATTTGCACAATTTATGCAAATATGAAAGAGAAGAAAAAAAAGAACTCTTCTTTTGGTCAGGAACCTGCATTTATACAAAGCTTACAGGTACCCATTTTTAAGTGACGAGAGTGGACCCAAGCTGCTTTAAATTGGTACCAAACAAGTTGTACTTTTTACTCCAATCCAAGGCTCTTTTATAAGTTCATAACCCTATCTGTTGCAACATGTAAAAATCACTTTAGTTCTATTTTGGTCACCTAATTTCTTTTTCTCTTAAAATCACAATTAATGCTACGCTTTGGTTTTATTTTGATCAACCGTTATTAAAAAATTAACCGAACTTCTGACGTCACATTTTTATTTTTTTAATGATGTGACATTATTTTATGGTGTTACGTCAACACTGCAGCTAATCTTTTAATAACGAGTTACCAAAATAAAATCAAACCGTAACGTTAATGATGATTTTAAAAAAAATAATAATAATAATGTGATTAAAATAGAGTTAAAGTAATAATTAAATAACTAAATTGTAATTTACCATAAAAATGACCGTAAAGATCTTAACAATCATCAAACATGCATTCAAACATTATATTATTCCCTAGCAGTTGCAAGTTGCAACCTGCAGAAATCTTATGAACAAAAAAGAAGAGCCTGAAAAGCACCTAACAATGATGAGTTAAACATGCATTCAACATTAATTATTGCTTTCACATTAAAACATGGGAGGCCCAACCCCACAACGTATCCTCCAAATGATTACGCCCATCTTGTTATGGCATCTTTCAGATCAGGAGAGTAAATTCAGAAAACCAATGCGGTTTCAGATGTGGTCCAACATCTAACATCTCTTATGAAAAATAGAATTGAAAAAACATAGGTTTAACCATATGATGAGTAAGATAATTCAGAATCCCTTTTTGAGGACCTATTAGGTGGTCTTAGTGGTAGAAAGGAACATTGTTCTCCTTGAAGGATCTAGGTTTGAGTAGCTGCGTCCGCAAGATATGGCGTTATCAACTGATTAAAGAAAATTTCTAAACAAATACTATATTGTGATCAAACATGACGAATGAAAAAGGCCTTCCATGTGAACCAACTTTGGTATCGTTAATGGAAGAATCACTAGTCCATAGAGAGCCCGCTTCATAGCTTCAAACCCTCCAATAGACTCAAATTCCACATCAATTTGATAATGATTTATCACATCACATGCTATTACATCCTGTAAAAATGACATGCACAAGAATTGTAAAATATAGTTGGTAGGCATGCATTCTGGGATAATATATACGATAGGATATTGATGAACTCAATAAATGAAAGAAACCTCTAGCAAATTACAGACATCAGACAGAAATAAGAAAATAGCAGCATAACAGGCTTAAAGTGCGCATGCTCATGATCTAGCATTCCTGTTAGACTGGCCGGTTAACTATTCTTCACTAGTACAGATGAACTTTTTGTTCATTGCAACCTTGACGGTAATTTTGAAGATAGGTAAGGAAACTTGTTTTAGGGGAGAGCAAAACTCAATTCAATTCGAAAAATTGATTTTCTTTTCAATTTTGAGTTATTCGACTCGAGATCTTCTAGTTAACTCAAATAATCAATTCAATTTTCGAGTTCAAGTCAAATTGAAATTTTGAGTTACTCGAAAAATAGACTAAGTATTTTGATAGTTTTATGATTTAGTCTCTGATTTAATTATTCCTTCAATCTCTCCTTCATTTTAAGTTCATTTTTACCAAATTTGAACAATATGCTCATAAACCATCGTAAAATACATATGTACTTTCAATTCCTCTTTTGATAATAAATTTTCTATTTTTCAATTTAGTCCCTCAATTTTTCATAATTGTCTTATTTCTTCAATTCATCCTTTATTTTAAGTATGTTTTTACCAATTTTGAACCACATACTCATATACCACAATAGAATACCTATGTAACTTCAATTCTTACTTTTTTACTAAAAATATACTCTCTTCTTTTATTTAGTCCCTTAACTTTGCATTTTACTCAATTTAGTCTTTTGACTACAATTGTTTGCAAATTCTTTCTTCACATCAATTCCGTGACTCTTTTATACTCTCATCAATATTTTACCCTCAAAATACTTTCTTTAAAATATAATATTATGAATGTAATCTATAATTTTATATTGTATTTGATATATTAAATAACATTATAATGTGAAAAGAACATTTATATATTATAATAAAATTGAATAAGATAAAAGAAAGTAAAAAAATTGGAAGAAATCTTTGTCATAATACTATAAATATTTATATTAAAATTATTATAGAAACTCAAATAACTCTACTCGAATTTCTTAAACTCGACTCTCCTCAAAAAAAATTTCAAGTTAAGTTTGAGTTGCAAAATACGACTCGTCAACTTGAATAACTCAAAAACTTTTGACTCGACTCAACTTGATTGAATCGTCACCCCTACTTGTTTTATTTAGTTACTTGTGTATTCCAGGATAGTTCCATGAGTTCTTTTATGTGTTACATTGCTTAACAAGATGTAATTAAACAACTTTGAGGGCTAAATTGATGTGAAAATACCATTTTGATGAAAATGATAAATTGAGTCTACTACAAGGGTAAAAGTGACCCTTAAGCCTATTTTTAAAATTGGTACATTGTCAAAATTAGCCCCTAATATTTACCATAATGGTCATTTTGGCCCATATTTATTTTTTAGAACATTTTGACATCCAATGTTTCATTTTGGGGTAGAAAGATCCCTCGGTAGATGAAAACCGTTATTTAGCAAAAGGTTAAGGCCCAAAATAGGGGACTTTTATCCTAAAACAAAATTTTAGGGGTCAAAATGTTCCAGAAAAAAAAATAAGGGTCAAAGTGACTATTTATCAATCGTTAGAGGCCTTTTTGTCCTAAAAAGAAACGTTAAAGGACACAATGTTCTAAAAAAATAGGAGCCCAAATGATTATTTTGATAAACGTTGGGGCTAGCTGGGGGCTAATTTTAACCTTATGTACTTCAAATTTTAGCTTTCATGAATATGAAAGCGCATAATTTTACTATTAAAAATAACAACCATGTGCAGGACTTAGGTGGCACTTGCAACTCTCCAATGTTATTTCAATGGAATGCGGTTTCTGCAGATGCGATTGTGAAGAATATGAATTCTAGGGAAATAACATTACAAAGTTTGGTACATATGGCAGAGCATGGGTTAAAATTCTAAGGCAGATACATGTTTGGCTCAAATACAATACAACTTTTATTAGTTTTAACATTTTTCAATGATATTTCTCATTAACAAATTGTCTTATCCAAGTACAACTGCTACAGCTGTTCTGATATATGGTTTCATTTTACAAAGGGAATTTAAGCAACTCAGATATTCTGTTCATGTTGAATTACATCTCATTTACTAGCATCCTTTGTTTGTTATGTGGTTCTGGATAACCAGAAGCAGCAGCATCAAGTCGATCTTCAACAAAACGAATTATTAGTAAGAGAGAACATTCCGATTTGGCTTGCATGTGCTGGGTACTCCATTTTTTTTCCTACCATTTCCATCATTGTGATCCCTCTGATGTTCCCTGAGCTAAAATGTTATTACGTGGTTGTTGCTTATATTATTGATTTATTATATTTTTATCATTGAATTATTATATCCTGTTATTTTGATTAAATATTATTATTTTCTAATTTGATTTTAAACTTTAAATAAAATTTGAATTTAACCCTAAAATTTAGACAAAAATATCAATTGACTCCAAAATATGACCAAAGTCCTCATCACCTGTCAACCACCGTTTGGCCTGTAAACAAACCGAATGTCATGCAAATTGTTCGACGGGAAGTTTGTTTATATTCGTTTATTTATTAAATGAACAAACACAAACAAGATTTTATGTTTGTTTAATTAAATGAACGAATACGAACAAAAGAGCTCATTCCTTGTTTTAAGTTCATGAATGTTCCGTAAACTGCTCATTTATTTATGTTAGTTAATGTTCGCTCATTTATATTTAGTTCAATCCCCATACCCTTTTGAAATATTAAGACAAAATAAATTTTAACCTTAAACCCATTAATATTTTAAAACCCAATTAATTTTATGGTAAGTACACAAATGATATGTTACCTATAAGATATTGCTTTATTGAGTCCTCAGACTATTAAAAGTTAAAAAATGATCTCTCAACTATAGAGAGTTGCTTCGTTGAGTCCCTCGACTATTAAAAGTTACAAAGTGTTCACATGACTATTTATTATGTTCCAAACTCGTCTTTTTTCGTCCAAAATTAACGGTCATCTGAGCTGAACGATAACATGAGAATTGAGATATAATAGTAGTTTGAGAGTATGAGATTATATTTTATCATATCTCAGTCAGTAAGCTAACGTCCA